TTGGCCTTCCACTTCTCTAAAGAACTAGGCTAAAAACCTCATCAAACCACCTCCCAAAATCAAGATTATTTTTTTTTATTTTTTTTTATTTTTGGCGCTACTTCTCCCCATCAAAGGATTTATTTTTTTATTTTTTTATGTATAAATGAGTTTCTGGTGTGGTGCTGGCATATGTGATCTATATATGAGGCTATTAGGATCTCGTCCTGAAGGTGATGGTGGAAATAGTGGTGATAAGAAGTGGTAACTCACAATGGTGAGTGGGGTTCTATTGGGTGTTTTGCTTGGTGGTTTCAGGCTGCAAAGTGGTTGTGGTTGTGGTTGTAATGCTTGCATGGTGCAACTATGGCTGAGGTAGAGGAAGTTTATAGAGTATTTTTTTTTCCTTGGCTTAGTGATTGGTGGACACATCATTATTAGAACCAAACCTGACATTAAATCATCTAAGGTTTCAAGTCATTGGGTCAATGATTCAACCACCAGGTCAACAAGTCAATTGTTAGTTTAATAAAAAATATTTTTAAAATATAAATACTTTAAAATTTTAAAATTCAAATTTTTAACCAAAGTTCTAGTTTAATAATTCAACTATAAAACTATAAATTTTAAGGTATATCATAAATTACAAATTTTAAAATATAAAATTCATAGAACAATTAATTACTAGTTAGAAATGAAATTTTTAACATTTTATTAAAATCATTTTTTATATTTTAATAGTTAGAAATAATATTTATATTTTAATAAATATAATAAATAATAAGTAATAAATATTATTGTTTATATTTATTAAAATATAAATATTATTTATTAATATATAATAATTAATTTTTATGTAATAAAACAGAAATACCTATATATAATTAATAAAAAAGAAATATTTATATTTATATGAAAATTAGTAAAAAGGAAATTAAAATCATTTTTATATTTTTTATACGAATGTAAACTTTTTTATTAATTTTACATATTTAAATTTTCTTTTATTAATTATTTTCAATCATGATCAAATAATTAATCATTTTTATTAATTTTTTATTAATTTTATATATTATTATTTTCTAATTATTTTTAATTATGGTATCAATTAATAAAAATTTTTGTTAGATCATCTTCTTTTAACAATTGCTTATTTTTATACATGTATAAAGTTTTTTACAATATCATTATCTACATGTCCCAAAATATACCAATATATCATTAATATAAGGATACAAGAGCTTTGATAGTAGAAAATAAGAATTAGATGGCTTATTTAGATAAAATAGTAGTATAAAGGTTTAATTAGATTATTTTGAATACTTAAAGGGCTTTTCATATTTTATCTAAACTTATTAGTTAGTATTGAACTAATTAGGTTTAAAAAAATCACCTAATTTACTGGTTTATTGTATAAACCACTGGTTCATAATGGTTTAAAGCGGTTTAATTGTAAAACTGATTTAATTACAGAGTTAGAATGATTTTAGTATCAGTTCACTGATTCATCCAATCAGATCGACGGTCCAATTTAATTTTGATAACTATGGGTGGGCAAAGGGTAATTCTCTAGGCCTCCCCTATGTTTTTTAAAAATTGACCTCTCTTTATGAGAAGTTAAGTTAAAAAAAAAAAATCAAAAACAAGATTTGAAAATCATGGCATAAAATCAAGAACACATGGGGAAGCAAATTGGGAGGAGAAAAATGTGGAGGATGACCGGCCAAACTTCATTAATTTCGGCCCCTTTTTTTTTACTTTCTTTATTTTTAAATTTTAATTTTTTAAAAATGATTAATTAATGATAAAATTTATGTATATATAATAATTAAATCTACCATTCAATAAACATGATCAAAATGACCTAACGAGTTCAAATTGAACATATTAAAATTACGGACATATGTCAATCAATTCGGATAAAATTAAGTGTATACAAACAATAATTAGATCAATTCGAACAAAATTAAGTATATATAAACAACAATTCTACTTTTATTTAAGTTGAAATAAATAATCCTTAAAAAGCATTTTTTGTTTGAGAAATAAAAGAACATAAAAAAGTTTTGTTTTAACTTAAGACACATTTTTCAAATAATTTTTAATCTTGGAAACTTGTAATTTTTATATAAATATTAAGACCAAACTTCTAAAACATGTTCCTAAAATATTTTTCAAATAAAATATTACTATGAAAAACATGTTATTTATTTAATACCAAAAATAATAAAACTTAAGAATATGTATTAAATAAATTTTCTTCAAAACATAATTAAATTTATTTATCTTAATGTTTTGTTACTTTAAAATAAAGATCAATTTAATGATAACATAATAAAAAAGTTAAAATATTGTTTTTTTAAATATTAAAAAAATCTAGAGAAATAATAATAATTCAAAATATTATTTTTTAAATTAAAAGTTGATTTTTTAAAAAAAGAAAAAAAGAAAATATTTAAAGGAACGGGTAAAAAGGGGAAGGAGGGAAGGAAAAAAAAAGACAAGGAAGGGGGGAGGGAAACTGCCGAAGCTGATCACTTAGCTTGGGACAAATTGAGGTCGATATGCCCCTGATCTGACCAGTCAACTCACATTTGGCTCGTTTTTGCAGATTCAGGGTAGATTGGTCCCAATCCATCCCCGTCTGATCGATCGACATCAATGATCACATCTCACCCTCCTTTTTCTATTTTTCTTCCATTCCCTCCTTCCACTTTCTCCCTAATTCTTTCCCTGATTTATTTTTTGAATTTTTTCTTTATTTAATTATGAATTTAAAAAATGAGATTTTAATTTTATTAAAAAAATTTCAATATTTTAAATATTTTAGAAAATTTACAAATTGTTAAAAGTATTTTTGATTTTTACAAAAAAATGATTTTACAAAAATCATGTTATTTAATTTGTATTTTTTAATTTTTAATGAAAATTTTTAGATTTTAAATATGTTTTATTTTTATTTGCATTGAAAAAATTCCAAATTTTAAAATTTTAATTTTGGCTTTTTTGGATTTTGAAAATTTTAACATTTTTTTCAATTTTATATTTCATTTTATATCTTTAATTGTTTTGGAATTTTTTTTATTTTTCAAAATTTCTTCCCTTTTTTAATTTTTGGTGAAATTTTTTTGTTAGTACTAATGTGGCAGCAGATCCACTAATGATATAGCATTTTGTTGCCATGTATCGTTATTTTATTAAGTATTTATGTCATATCTACAATTTGACTAACGGTGTTAGCCTAAAATTTGAAAATATATGATGAAATGAAGGTTTGAATATTTAAGTTTAAATTTTATTTTTTTATGTATCAAAATTGTATAATATAAAAGTCAAATAAATATTTAACCCAAAAATTAACTTGAATGAAGTTAGACAAGAGTAGTTGAATGCCCTTGAAACTACCCTATCAGATTTTGCTAATGCAATCGAATGCCCAGAGGCTGCAGTCGAATACCTGACAGGAAATTACAGTCTATTTGAGATTTTAGCTAACGCAGTGGAATGCCTTGAAAGGACAATCAACTTCCCTAGAGGATTTTACATTCTGTGTGAAAATTTGCTTAGAGTAGTCAAATGTCATTGTCAAGCATTTGAATGCTCTTCTTGAAAAGTCAAAATATCAGTCCGCTGAGCATGATATTTCATTCTAAAACTGATAGTTCTTTTTCCAAATGTGCCAATGGATGAAAAGGTGTTCCAAGCACCAGTTGGGGATTATAAATACTTTCAACATGTATTTAACACAACTTTACATCAAATTCTCTCAGAAAAAAAATAGATTACTCTCTCTTCACTTTTTTTTCTGGTTGCTGGTTCGTATGAGTTCAAAAAGGACTTGAACTGTAATCAAGTTCTTTAATTTAAGCATTGTATCATGGGATAAAGTTTCTAAGAGTACATTTGCACTGTGGACGAAAAATAGCTTCCTAGAAGTAGCAGCAGCAAGGAGCATATTGAACTTCATTCTCCACTTGATGAAGATGGAAGACACTTCCGAAACCAGCATCGGAGATAATGGTTTTCTCAAAGTCATTGGCGAATTCCAGTATGGTCTCATCTTAAACCGATCTTTCTTGTGAAATTGCTCTCTTGACTTGTAAACTAGGACGCTCTAAGGTTTTTTTTTTTTTTTTTTAATTGTGACTTGTAAGGCCGGCCTAAGGATCATTTAAATAGAGAAATTCAAAGAAAAATACTAAACTAAATTTCACGTGTGTGTATGTATATATATGTGTAAAATAAGAATATAATCTCATACGCGATAAAAACAAAAACAGATTGATTATTGTTTTTGGTTTTGGGATGAAACAAACCTAGAGGAGAAAGTGGGATAACAAGTGCCATTTTCTTTGTCTAAAAGACTATCATCAAAGTTTAATTTGAGCGTAGTTTGAAAGATGCAGCTTTAATTGGCTATTGCCTTCCTTTAACTGCTTAGTTTTGGAAGGCTTTGCCTTTGTTGTGCTGCTTAAATTCTGCTTTGAGTTACTACATGTTGAGCATGAAACTGACTGTTCTTTGGTTCTGGATTCGGATTCAATCTGACTTCTTTTGATACGATGGATTCTCCATTTTGGAAAGGTCAATAACATTGTATTTTTCTCTTTTTGGGGGTATAATGAAATTGATAATGATTTATCGAAAAAAATTGTGACCTAATTGATACATTCATGGAAGCAACGTAAGTAGAAATAGGATTTTAAGGTGGTAGGAAATTGAATTGCAAATAATTATTATATAAGCGCGACGTTGGAGGATTGTAGATTCAATTAGTGCTTAGCATGGCTAGGATAAAAGATTTGATTACCTTCTAATAACCAAAATCACCTATCCCCAACTTGGTCAATTTCACTAGGCACATCCAAAGATAGTACATGCTACCCGCCCAAAACCGTGAACCTGAAACGAACTTGGGCATAAATTTTTAAACCCGATCATGTCTTGACTCATTTGAACTTTAGAAAATAATATCTTTTACATAATTTTAATTTTGTTACATCCATTTCTATTGGATTTGTAATTACCAAGGGCATTAGATTGGCATGTGAAAATATATAAGATGCCAATTCCAATGAATTGGAATGCTTGATGCACCACGTGCTGCTGGAGCAGCACTGGTAAAAAGATACTTCAAAATAGAAGCTGTCAACTAAAGCTTATCCGGTTAACGAGGGAAGAACCACAAAATACAATAGCTTTACATTACAAAACTTTGGTTGTAAATTTGGTCAGAAAACACCTGAGTCTGCAATTTTCTAAATACAGTTTCTACAGAAGAAAAATCTACATCGAAACCATAACTCTGGCCTCCATATTGCACATAAAGGAACTGTTTATAAGACGCAGGTGGTGGCAAAAGTAGAGAGATCCTCGGGAAATCTGACGTTGGTGGTGAAGGTAAGTGTTTCTTCTTCAAAGAATAGTAAACATCAGCTAAAAGAAGCCATATAAGATCAGGGTCTATAGATGCAAGTCCCTTTAACGCATTGACTGATGCATCATGAAGCCCGACAACTCCACTACAAGCTATGCCGACGACAAGACCACTAACCTTCTTCATAACGACTTCCAATGCTGAAGCACTTCTTTCGTTTCGAGACAAATCAGCAATCATATGGAGCAGTGCGACCTGTGCTTTTAAATTTGAAGTTTCTGCTACAGGGTCATCTGAAGAAACATTAGCACTCCTGTAAGGAAGTTGTAATGAGTTTGGCTTCTTCTGGAATGGGGATGTGCTTAAAAGTTTCCAGAAGTGAGCCCCGTCAGTGTGGAAGCGGCGTGAAAAGAAATCTCCTCCACAAATTTGCACTACGCTGCTTACAACACTTAAACATCTCCTGACAACCTGTACAAAGAACAAAATCATAATCTAATTATTAGATTCTAATATGATGCAAAACAAAATCTCAATTAGTGTTGTTACCAGAAGTTATTAAGTACACAAAACTACTATGGAATCACTGTAACAAGATGAGTTTGAACTCGTAAATAGGGGCCCAAAATCTAGAAATTACATTCCACTTATTGCCAATCATCACATAAGCAGTCATTCAAATAGGCAATTTGATGGATCTCACAACATAAGACGCAGATAAAACCAAAAAGTAAGATTAACTTAAACTAAAAACTATGCTACTTTGAGGAGACTAGGCAGGGTAAAAAGAAAGAATACTGACCACCACGTTTCCTTGTTGAACACAAACAACCAAGAGCGGCCATATTTTATTCACTGCCGGAAGCAACCTGTTCTCAATAGTACTGTCATCAGCAGCACTAATAGTATCTTTCAGATGATATAATGAACACGATTGAAGCTCTTCTTCAATTGCTTCTTTAGTCTCCTTTTCATTCCTATAGGCTTCTTCCACTTTCGCTAGTATTGCTATGCCATCCTACAAATCATACTTTGATCAACATACAGGGTAAAGATTTTGACGTATCCACAACTTGATGTCTTCCCCTTTTTACAGAAATAATGGTTAGTTGTTAAAGTCCATCAAGCATTTAGGAATATGGACTGTAAGGGATCACTCTGTTAGAATGATATTCTGCTTTCTATAAGTCTTAGGAGTTCATGGCATCTTACACTTCCAGTTTTCACAAACATTCTATGGCCTAAAGCAATTCTTTATTGGCCATAATTCCTGGTTATTCATAATTAGGTTTGTCATGGATTATAATTATCTAACCACTTGCAACCGCATCCCTTTTTTTTTCTCCCCTCCATACCAAAAGGAAAAAATAGAACTGAACTGTAATCAAGTTAAAAGGCATTTTGTATCACACACTATTACAAAGTAACACTAGTAAATGAACTTTCAAAAGGTGAAATGTAGCATCTGACATGCATAACAAATTTCGAGGTTTTAAGATCACTTCTTTGACAGTTTAAATCTCAGTCACTTGCTCCACTTAAAATAGTTCAGAAACATACCTCAACTATGTCCAGTGCCACCAAGCATGCTGCTTGACTCATAGAAGCCAGTAGAGGGGCTGCAGTTGTTAAGCATGAACCAGCAATAGATCCAACAGTTTGTCTATATCTTTTGGAATCATTCAACTTAAACAAAATATTCTCCCATTGCTCTACAATCATGATATCATCATTCAAATTAGCACCAAATGTTTCTGGCCTCTATCCTAAAATTAAGATAGATCCAGGATGATAAATGAGGATATTAAAATTCACAAAAATTTTATGACAAAAAAGAAAAAAGAAAAAGAAAAAGAGGATGACTTTTGGGGCAAAAAATTGGTTTTCCAGAATAATTACATATATGCGGTGGCAAAGCTGCATTATTGATCGAGCAGTGAAAGGGCATAATGCGTAAGACCAGACAGACCAAAAAAATATGTCTAAGACCAGATCGCAGCCAATGACGAAAACAATGGTTAAATGAGGGCAACCACTGCCAGAACTGTTGTGCAGGGTCAGGAGAGATCAATCCCAGGAGCCTTGTTAGCATTAACCCTCTTACGCCCTAATGTAACCAACAGAACCAGTGTTTCTGGCTCCCCTTTTTTCAATTTTAGTTCAAGTAATTTTCAATATTGTTTATTGCAGGGTCAGAGCGTAGTTTTATGCTATCCCTGCACCCTAGATTGTTTAGACAATTGAATAATATTACTCCATGAGTCTAGTTTATTGCTGGAGTCCATTTGTGTCAATTACTTGTGTGCTAGGTAGTTTTCCATTTAGGCCGCCCTGGGTCCTTTCTAGACATGCTATTATATCTGGATAAGCATCTGATAATTAAAATTGAGTAATTTGATCAGTATAAATATTGTACTTTCTAACCTTAATTTAACACATCCTAACCATAGCTCAAGCAAGCCAACTGGCAAATTTAAAAAATTAGCCTTAATTGACAACTAGCATTTTTATGCTATTTTAGGCTCCAGTTAAATGCTGCTTTTAGGTTTGTTTTTTGCTTACTTCAAAATAGCTATAAAGTAAAAGTAATCAGTAAAAAGTAAAACCATATTTAATCAAAAGTGAGCAAATTGCTGATAAGTGATTCATATTAGGGGAGAAGTTCCACAGACAGAGAGATGGATCGCTAGGGTTGCCATGGGTTAGTTGGACCAATGAGAAGAAGATAAAAGAATGAACATCTCATAAAAGCTGGGCCCTCTCCTCAACAATTACACATTTCAAATCAGTAAATAATATAATATTAAAATAAAAAAGAGCAATCACCTGATTCCATGAGAGACACATCAATCTCATCAGCAAAACCTGACCTTGAACCTTGTCTCAATTCTGGTCGAACTTTCTTTTCCCCGTCAGATATTTTGGACTTGACATCCATCAGATTACAGTGTGCTTGAGAGGGCAGGGTAAAAGCCTCACGCTTAGATGCCTTTACAATCTCAAATACAGCCTAAAGAAAGAAGAACCATCAACAAAGTCACCTTGATGATAAAAACAATGGAAAACATGGGATGGGAAAAAAAAACCCTCAGCTAATGCAGTAGAGAAGACAAGAGAAAGAGAGAGTAGAAAGCATGATGTTCAAGACAACAATAGGAACTAACTTAAAAGAGTTAGAACCAAAGACATTACAACTACATAGAAGTTCAAACAGAGCAGTCCTACTTATGAGATAAGATTTAGCTCAAAGAATCAAATATTAATTGATAGGTCACATACAAAGATTAACAATCAAAGTCCCATCTAAATTTGAACTTTGCTCTCTAATATCTAAATAATCTTCATGAATTACTTTAAAAAAAAAAAAAAAAAAGAAACAATAGAAAATGAGTACAGCATTAAGAGCAAAGGGAGTTTAGGCTGTATTGAGTAACAAAACTCAGGCTGAAAAAAAGATACACCTGTTTTGTTTAAGATCTATAAAGTTCACAGGAAAAACCCTTTAGATTCAAATCTTGATTCCTTTCATTTATCTCCAATAACTTATGTAAACACATAATAAAGAGTAAAGGAAATTAAAAATGAAAAAAAGAAAAAGAACAAACAGATTTTATTTTTCCTTTATTCAAATTGTAAAAAATAGCATATAGAAAATTCTTAGCCACAATCTCATATATGCAGAGTAGAATCACCAACACCAAAAGGGTACAAGTTATCAAAAATATTTCTAAATTTCAAAGGTTTTAGATTAAATAGGAATCAAACTGAAAACACTGAATTCTAGTTTAATAAATGTACAATTTGAGAGAATGATAAATTAAAATAGATAAACAGGAAGTTCTTAAGAGTGAATTAATGTCGCTATCTAGGTTCAAGTTCAATGATTCAAAAGAATAGTTTGAAGAGGATGTTAGCCAAAAGAATAGAGAGGGTTAGATAATGTGGAGAAGTGCTGTAGCATTATGGTGTAAAATAGCCATAAGACCATATATCATTTATGACCTAAATGTTGGGTGCCTAGAAGACATCATCTCCATAAAATTTATGGCTGAGACGAGGATATTCACATGGATTATGACCATATTAGAAAAGATAGAATGTGAAAAGAAGATATCCATACAATGATAAAGATGACACTAATTGATGATACAGATTTAGAAAATTTGGCAGCATGCAATTTCAACCTAGATATTCACCAATTCAATAGACTCACTTGATCCAAGTAGGAAACAAAAAGAGGTAGAGGTAAACCAAAAATTACCAGGATTGAACTCATAAAAAGAGGATCTAGCTAAGTTAAATCATTAAAAGAATATAACCCTTAATCAAGCAGAAAGGGAAAACTGGATGAACAAATTTTATCAAGGATTAACTAAGTTGAGTTTAACAGTCAAATTATTCCAACACCAACCAAAGGTCGCTTGATTAACCTAATTCTACAAGACTTGCGATAAAGCTGAGCCACCTTTATTTTAGATTATCTAGAAGGTAAGAGGCTCAACATCATATCTTTCGAGGCAAAACTTAGTCCACAAGTTGAAACCCGTAATTCCTTTTATCCCCTCTCAACTTCAAAAGCATCTTTATTATTTGATTCTTGAATTCCCATTTTGGCTAGCCCGAATACTACTGGCTCCTTATAATCACTAGGTGTGTGTGTGTACACATGTGCATGCTCAGCAGGAGAGAGAGAGAAAAAGGTGGAACTATCCTTTAACAGTAAAAAAGTACCAATCATACTCCTTAATGTTTGATCATAAATTCTATTATTTTGTAGTTTTTTGTTAAGCATCTGAGTCCTTTTATTCTCCATTTTCTCATCAAACAAATAGAGTGCAAACTAACAATACCATTGTTGCTCACACCATCTAACTTAAAAGATGTCCTCTGGTCCAGCCAAGAGCAAATTTATGTGATGATCCTAATTGGAATCCATAGGAAATAATACAATATATCATTGACTATCAATATTGGTAATTGTTGAAAACATAGCACAGGTCAGTAAAAGTGGAACAGAAAAGAATAGGAACCATTAATGAACAAAGAGAAGAATTGAGGAATTACTAACGCAGCAAATATAAAATTTATGACCTTTAGAAAGGAAATAGTTAAATCTGGGTGTTTATGCCTGGCAAGAATTTCAAGTTCCTGTGAAACAGAGCGCATCTGTAGAAATGAATAAAATCAGACCAGTTGTCATGGAATAAGTTTAAAAAATTCTGAAAGCAAATACAGCACCACATAAAATAGTTAAAAAGATCTGAAAGCAACTTAGTAATGCAAAATAAATCAAATAATGCCCTAAGGATACACAATAATCAATATTAAATCAGTATTTTGGTACATAACAGAAAAACCTTCTCCAAGTAAATAATTAAGAAAAAAAGCACATTGGAAATTTCTTGAAATAAAATGCAGGCAATAGAATATTAGATACAGGATTCATTTTCTGGGGCTGGATAAATACAGTTTTCTACCACCCCACCCCTGCCCGCTCCTAGAGAGACCCAAAACCGAAAGGATACCATCATTCTGCTGCAGCTTTGCATTTTGACATTTTACTCAGTCAAATACATATTCTCACCAATTGAACATCTCTGTTGAAAAGTGCAATTTTTTTTGTCTCACATTTTCATTTTTTCTGTACATGATGTCTCACATTTGCCATAAACCACATGCGAGTAAAATATCACCAAACCTCGAGCCTATAAAGTGAAAATAATTCAAACTATCAAGGGGGTTTAAGGGTCCATAACCAACAAAAGAACTCAATGTATAAAAGATGAAACTTTTGCAGAAGGTAAAACCAACAACCAATCTCCTAGACAGCTTAGGTGTTCAGTCGTACCGGTTCCTCCAACAGAGGCAATATTTTATGACCCACTCCAACATAGGAAAGCATTGCAGCAAGCACATTTGGCACATGAGGATTCAGATCCAGATGCCGTAATTGCCGGCATATAGAATCGATTATATAATCTGCATTTGCCAAAACCAACTGCCCAACCTACAAAAAAATTACTCATGTACCATTTAATCAATTGCATAATCTAAAAATAAATTATAGTTAATAATTTTATGTACAAGCACACCGTTGAATAGCCAGCTGTAGCGGAAAGAAGATGTAAAACCGCATCAGAAGCACTTCTAACTTCAAAGTTTGAACATATAAGATTCTCAAGCAATAGATACAGAGACGAATGAAGGAATCCACTGGAAGCAAAATCACTTCCAAGGCACAAAGCAAATATGCCTATTCCATCAATAATAACCTGTTTCAAGAAATAAAACACAATCAATATAATATACTGCAAAATAATGAAAACTCAAACATTACATGGGTGACTTAAAAAAATTATGTTAATGTAATTTCCTGATGTAACATAGCAACATCCTGAAAGAAATGCAGGGTAATATCTTCGACTTTGGCATCAGACTGCATTAACAAAGATTGATGATCTATTGGAAGATCCCAAACTTCAGAACATAGATATTCATGTAAGACCTTTCCAATACAATCAATGAAGTGACTCCTAGCACCCTTCTGCAATGCAATTTCCCAAAGAGATTTATTGAACACAGTAGGTTTAAGTTTGTGAGGCAGGCCATCCGCAGATCCTTCATCAGATTCCCGAAAATCTACCCTTTTTATCCTGGATTTCTGAAACATTCTTCTAAGAGCATCAAGTGCCTGATCTGATATACCGAATATCATCTCATTTAGAATACATACACCAGTACTGGCCTGTCGCAGTAACTGCCCTGAGCCAGTTCGATTGTACCAAGAGTGCCAACTTTCTTTATTGTATTCCTTCCTTCGAACTTCCAAAACCAATTTATGCAAGTAGCCCAAGGGAATATCAGCAATAATTGATAAATGGCCTTCACTTTTATAGTCTGTCAATAAATAATCAAAAGACAGTAAGTACAATGTATTTATGGCAAAAGTTTGATAAGAGAGTAGGAATTCAAAGGTTCGAGATGACCTGCCATTAAGGATAAACCTACAAGTCTAAGAATCCCAGAAAGAGCCTTGTATAACTTCTGACCACCAACATAAACAAACCAAGGGGGCATGCGTGGAAGCTCAAAATATGTCTTCCTAGCCTCTGCTGTGTCTTGTTTTCGAATTTCATGAATATCCATGAGCTTTGAAGTATTAGTTGAAGCAGCATTAAGTAAGACCTCACAATCACCCATAACATGCAAGCCTTTCAACTCAGCAACAGAGGGAAGGTATCCTGTTGAAGACGGCCTTGTTGAAACAAGCTTGTTTAGAGAACCAGTAAAAGCTGAATTCTGACTAAGACAGAGGGAAAAAACATCTAAGAATCTGGCGGCTGTAACCTATCAATGCAAAAGACTATTATTAAATTTTTGAAAGACACCGACCAAATATGTCAATCAACTTCAACTGAAAGTAGTACTATTAATAACAAGAAACACAGGAAGAAAGAGTTCATTACCCAACACATAGCAGAAGTTATCACAATCATATTATTTTACTGAATTAATGGATGTATAATGCATAACATTGCTTCAAACTACCAGAAAATTTGTCTTTATAAACTTCAGGACCGCTCCATGATGGGCATGATAGCAGAAGGCTTGAAGTTGACAAGTGGTATTAAAGGATAATGAGATCTTCAAAGATTGACGCAACCATAAAAGTGGCAAGGTAACCATCAAAGGATAATGAAATCTTCAAAGATGGACGCGACCAAAAAAGGTGGCAAGGTAACCATAATTACACTCTTTAACCCCCCAGCTGACTGCTATTCAATTATATTATTACACCTTTAGACCTTTAATCTATTAGTAATAAGAACTGCCAAAGGAAGATAGATTATGAGGAGATAAATTTTTTCCATTAACTATGTACTACAGCCAGCTACCACCAAGATATCATTTATGATTGGGAACTAACAACCTACCATTTAATCCCCTTCATGGTCCAAAAATGGAATCCTACCACCGCTTTGTCATGTTAAAACTTTAAACCAATTTTAGCATGCAGTAAGTCAAGGATCCATGCTTGGAGAACTGCTAGAGCCTAGATGGGGCTTGTAACTAAGCGCATCATTGGGATATATAACATTAGTTCAGCCAAAACCTATAGCCTAAGCTGCTAGGTATCATACTTCCATCCAGGTCTACCAATCATGCTATTAGAGAGTAAAGTACAAATTAAGAAATGAAAATATTAGATAGCTCCTCAAACAGTAATTATTGATTAGGAAGTGCGTAAAGAATAATTAGCTATACCTTTAAAATACCTATGAGATTTTGAAGTTCTCTGCGGAAGGAAATGTATTTATGTAATATAAAAATGTCTTTCGAGTGAAACCTTTCAATTTTTTAAGTTCACATTAGGAGATACAGAAATTTAGGTACCATACACTCTTACCCTCAAACAAGCGGATATTCAATTAGAACACTATAACATCTTGGGATCTCTTTCAAGTGAAACCTTTCAATTTTTCAAGTTCACATTAGGAGATACAGAAATTTAGGTACCATACACTCTTACCCTCAAACAAGCGGATATTCAATTAGAACACTATAACATCTTGGGATCTCTATTTGATACTTCAACATCTTGGGATCTCTATTTGATACTTCAATGACTACAAACAACATATAGACCACCATATATGTACAAAAGTAATGGTCAAAAAAGCACATACAGGAGATTGGAGATGACCCAACAGAAACTGAGGACCAGAGTAATATATGACCGTAAGAAATTGCTGAGCATGTGAAAGCACAATTGATTCATCACTCCCAAGCACCGTCTTTGGAAGTTTTTCAATAAGCCTGTTTCAGAAAGGAACTTATTTGAAAATTCCTTCAAAAAGGAGAAAAGCACCTTGCTACTTACAGCTCAACATTATTTCACGAGTAACTAACCTGCTAAAAATCACAGCAACATCATATTCTACATGATGTTTCCAAGAGGCCGAGAACAAATATTCCATAAACTCCTGGGCAGCAGCAGAAATCTCTTCACAGTCATCAACGACCAAAACACATAAGCACTCCTGCATAAGTATCAGAGAAACAATACTAAATATAAGACCTAAAGCATCTAAAAGGCTACAAGTCAGACAAAATTTCACAGCAATTGATTCAATTACATTGAGAAAAAAGATAGGCAAAGTCATAACATCAAAAGAATTAACAAGATTAAAGCAATCCTTGAAATCTTCAAAAAGTAAGATACATGATCAAGACTCAAATTATAACCAAAAACTTGGAAGACAACATAAATCAATATCAAATCAATGACTGCACCTTTTGGATGAAACATTCATGAAACTCCAAGAGAGAATATTCACTTCACTATCATGCAAATCTCCTCCTACTGAGGTTAAATATCTCAGAAGAAATACTAAGACAAACGAAAGAGGGCACTACCACACTACCTACTTCTCCCACCAAAAATAATTATTACCTAAGATAATAAATTGTCCTCCCACTTTGGTTACATATCCTTTTTATAAAGGAAAAAACTACAGAGAATGCTACTTCATTCCCCCACCAAAACTGGAGATGATGGTCGCATATAACAAATACAATCATAAAAGCAAGCACATAAATCATAAGGCAAATCATCCTCTTGTCTCATTTATCATGTGATGTACCATTACCACTCAATGAGTACAGTCACTATTGTGAGTTGTAAGTTAAATCATTATTGCCAATTAGCCTCTCTTCTGTCTTATAATGTGATTTATAAACAACTTGGAAAAGCCATTTAAAAAGAAAATAGATGTACTTAAAATTTACTTGAAATTTTTATTTAGGTTCATTTATCCGCACAAATATATATATAATACCATTATTGAGTTGGCATCAAGAGTTAAGACATGGCCTCACTCAGTAAAATTACAAAAAAGCCAGGTAAAATGATAAGTATATTTACACACAGGCTCTCAAAAAAATATGGATAGATAAATCATTTACTTTTTCCTTTACCTTAGAATACACTCCCACTTTTAAATAATACTATTTTTTACTTGCATTCATGTACTTAAAAAACTGTTACTTCATACTTTTGCTCATCTATCCACATAATAAATGCCACAAGTTTAGTATTCTTCATTGTTTTGCTAATCTTCCAAGTATTGGGACATTAGAATTATATATGGCACTAGGCATTTATATTAGAGTTTAGCCTATAGCCTACAAATTCCTTATGTTATTTCAATTTCCAGTAGCCGTTGATGAAGACTTAGAGTTTTGAGTTACTGAAATGACTTTCTTCCTCTTGGTTCTTCTCTCTCCACTCTGTTTCCTCAACTTTTTCCAGTTTCTTAAATCTTTCTCACTTTTTTCCTTCTATTTCTCTGTTTTCTCCTCTTCTCCTCCATGATCTACATCACATCCCCTCCTTATTTAGTTATCCCTTTTAAAAAATGTTTTCCCTCTTATGATGAGAGTAACCTCACCATATATTAGAAACAAAAAGCATCAGACACATTGACTTATTAACATAAAATAAATCCTGCAGATCAGTTAACGGTAAGAGAAAGGAATAGGATTTTTATAATTAACAACTGAGCATCGGTTCATATCAAGTATATAACACAAGTTACAAATAATATAGCATTTACAAGTATTAAAGTAAGAGTCACAAACAACCAACAGTTATAATGGCTCCCCCTGTTAATTCCTGTCATGTTTTCACTTTGCATAGGAAATTTAGGTTGTATTTTCCCAAATTCCAACAAACAAAATAAACACAATAAATGTCAAACTCTATAAATTGCAACCTAAAAAGTCCATTTCTTGTGCACACCAAGAAGTCGTCGGCACACCAATCAACTAAACAAAGCCAAATGTTCACAGCCCAAAAGCATGAAATTTATAGAATTCAACCTACCAAAAACATCAGTTTGCTCTTTCCTAGCGTGAAATTGCACTTCAATAATAGCCCCCGAATAGCAGCAAGAAGCCCATGTCTCACCTTTTTCACTTGATGAACACAAATCTGGGACACATAACATAATAACAGTATATCAAAACAAATGTGCAGTATAAATTTTGAATAGATATTTTTAGAAACGAATTTTGATGGCTGTAAAGTATTCTTAAAAGTAGCAATAAACAAATCAAATGTAGATCCATACATAGGGAAATGTCGCACATAATAGTTTGTTCACATGGGCAGAGGTTTCTCAATCCACTTTTTTGTACGATCCACATGCAAAGATCCTATTCCCTTGCCAAGACCAGGGCCACTTTCTTCTCCAGATTCAGTCTTGGGACTAACTGTATCCACTGCTTCGCCATTTATACTTTCCACCATCATTTTGGTCCGAGCTTTTAATGGTAATTGACGGAGCTCCTCCAAGAAAGAAATTGTAGATTTGTTTGTATTTGAGTTATGGCCAACAGAAGCATCTACGTTCATATCAAGACCAGATAAATTGGCATCATCTTGAAGGACTATCATAAGGTACTCAGCCAAACCCCTAATTGCTTGGTCAATACCTTCCACACTTCCAGCAGCCCCACTTATCATTGTTTTTGAAATGTGTAACACTTTGGCAAACTGACTAACAACACCAGGTAAGAAGAAAGCCAATGCATCTGCAGTACCAACCTGGAAAAGAAGTAATATGTCAACAGAATTAATCCAATCTTCCATGTGTGATGAAGATTATGGCAATGAAAAGCAAGAAGTAACTTCTCTGTTCAAATCAGACAAGCTAACATATTTGCAATGTGAGAATCTTTTCCCTCTAAAGCAGCCTTTATTCTTATTTCTCAAGTGATAAATAGTGCCACACTTGATATTCATTTCCCAATTTAATGATTTCTACTAAAAAGTAAAATCCTCACCACTAGAAGCATTAGGAATATATGTTGGTATGCATACTCAAATACATATGAACAGTGCATGTGCATGGTCAAAGAGAATTCATATGAGATTATGGAATTTACAGAGCAAAAATGACAGAAGCAAACAGCATAAAAGGTCATGGAAAGATGTGATTCTGTTCATATAAAGTTTAACTTATTCCTCTTCCTTGAGTAGTAAATGAGGCCCCACTCAAATTTCATTTATCAAACTAGTAATTTCTGCTAAGAACTAAAACCATCACCCAAAAGGAATCATTGAATATATGTTAGTATGCATATTACAAATACATACAAACTATATGTGGGTAAATGCAAACAGTATTTCTCTAAGATAATTAGAAGAAACGGCCAGATGTAATTCCTTTTATATAAAAGTTTTACTGAAAAATATATAGGGCTGTTCATGGTAGGCAGTTAAGTGAATGAGAGGCACAATGGAGTAATTACATAAAAGGAAGGAAAAAAAAAACAATTATTAATATGTAGAAGCCCCTTGTTGAGGGCCTAATGAATGTTACAATTACCTTAGCAACAAGAACACGTAGGGTCAAAAGGGCTTCAATACGCAGATTTGCACTGCCTCGATGTCCTCGTGTAGCCTCAATGTCTGCAGCCTTAGCACAAGACCATCATCAATTTCATATAAACAATTAATAGGATAAGTTAGCCAATACATAAAAATTACATTTACTCTAGAATGAGTATAGAAAAGAGGAATCTACATACTTTGAGAAGAAGGGATAGCCAGTGTCCCACAGCTGCTGAAGCTGCCTCTGACTGCAAAAATGCAAGTAAACATTCTCGTTGCTCCAAGTCATGCTTCAAAGTTCCAGTTGGAGTCAGAAGGTCTCTACTTTCCAAGAGCATAGGTAAATCAAGACTTTGTTTACACATGCAATACTGATTAGAACAACAATGTAAATTCAGAAGCAGAGCCCTGAAACACTTGATAACTCCTTCACGGAACTCTTCTGAAGCCTCAGATGGAGAAAGCAAAGCAGCATAAGTCAATTTTTTCAGAATTACAACCATCTGTGACAAGATAGCATCACATTTCATTTAGCTTAATCGAATCTTCAAATATTAAGGTAATAATAAAATTACCATTCCAATATATATGCTAACAGGAAAAACTAATATAGAATCAACTTTCCCGCAGAAATAAGAAAAAAGATGAATTCCAAAGATACACCTCATGTTAGGAAAACATTCATGCTAGACTTTAAGAGTTATCACTCAAAACTTAAAGAGTTAAAACTAAAACAAAAATGAATAGACAAATAAATTTCCTAGATGGGGGTGGCATAAGTGCTGCTAATCTTTCCTTTGATATCATTCTTCTTAAGGATAGAATCTCATACCATATTATATGTTACTAAACCCCCATTTGGTTGTTATTTTGTTACTTGTATTTTGCTTAAAAAAAGTAAAAAATGGTTTTAGATATAATATAAATAGATATATATAATATTAAAAATTAAAAATAAAATCCTTCATTAGCAACAAAATGCATAATTTACTTTTGTATGGAAGAAATCTATTTGAATTTATGTTAAATTTGCATCATTTTTCTTTACCATTCAAGGTGTTTGATGAACTGTCAAAGCACAATCTTACAATTCTTTTGCCTATTTCTTTTTGCCATACTTGAGAAGCTTCCCCAATTGGGTTTTTCTCATTTTTGCTTTTCACTCATTTTGTTTCATACTTACGGCCTCTTTCAAGAAAATAACTTGATATAATTAATATTTAAGACATTTAAGTTTGATAAAAAGGCTAGCTTTTTTTACTCATAGTTTAACTGTAAATAATAAGTTGATGACTAAGATTTTGGGGACATATGTTTATTGCTTCTTTCCAAAGAAATAAACACAAAAACAAAAGATATAACAAAAGCAACAATCAAGCACAGCCTTCTAATACCAGGTGAATTCTTTCCTCGATGATCACTGCGATTTCTAGATTGCATTTCCCATATTCAAACTCAAGGTAGTAGTAGTAGTAGTAGTAGTAGTAGCAGCAGCATGAATTTATAATTAGAAAAGTAAAATATAACAAATAGAGTTACTTGAACGAGAAACGAGAAGGGGAAATGGACCTGATCAACAGAACCCAAATGGCATTTCTTGAGAAGCTCTTCCAAACACTCCACCACTCCCTCTGCTACTTTATCACCCACTTTTTTATAACTATAATTATTACTTTCACTTTTCTTCTGTGAGCTTCTACAGTCAACTGCTGCATCCAGCAAAAGCAGCAATGGAAACAAAGTATAGCTACAAAAAAAATTAAAAATACAAAAATCAAATTAAATATCATTTAAAGTAATTTCTTTCATATCTTTTAATTCTAAAAATTAGGGAAAATAGGAATAATAAGAAGAAGGAAAAATAGGGAATTGCTTACTCGAAGAAGGATTGCAGAGAATTGGGGGGAGAAGAGAGAAGCAGGTGGAGCAATGCTGGAATGGCAGAGGACTGTTTTTTAGGGTTTTGAGAAAGTTCAAGAAGGTCTAAACAGTAAGGTTTTAGCTGTAAAAATAGTTGGCTTCTTTCTCCTTCTTCTCCTTCTTCCTGTGATTCGGTGGAACCGCCGCTGATTCCGACCAAACTTTCCGTCATATCCATTCTATTTCTGAAGAAAAACTGGAAATAAAAAGAAACGGGAAGAAATGAAATGAAATGAAACGAAATGAAATGAAATGAAGAGAAGAGTAAAGAGAAAGTGCTAACTGCAAAGAGAGAAGAGCGAAAGCGGCCCCGGCCGAAGAGGAAAGGGGAATCCGGGATTTGGAATTTGTATCCGAAGCTCCGTTTGCATGGCCAAAATCGGGGGGAGAAAAAATAGGAAGATGTTTATTTTATAACCCTCGAGTTTATCTGCAGAAAAGCCGCGATATATCGATCTTACTTTAAAGCTACGAGATATCGCTATGTCTCGTGATATATTATAATAGATTATAAGAATAATATAATTTTAAAAAATAAATTAACAAGTAAATATTAAAATATAAATAATTTTATTTAATTTATTAATTTAACAAATAAAAAATGATATATTTTTTAATTTTATAATATCAATTTATTTTATGAAATTAATTTAATTATTTATATTTAATAATATATTTTTATACTTTTTTATTACATTTAGAATTATTAAAAGTTTTTCAAAATAAGAACTTTCGAACTCATTTTACATATAATAATATGAATTTTATTGTTATTTTCATCTTTTTATGTTAATAATTATTTTATTTAAATTTTTTTAATTTTAAAATATCAATTCTTTTACATTATCAAGTTAATTATTTACTTTAATTTTTTGTTATGCATGTTTTTACTTTGTATTTCGTTTAGAATTATTATAATTCTTTATTAAAGTATTATAACGTCAAATAATATCAATTTTATGATTTTTTTATTTTTTTTATTTTTTTATATTAATACTTATTTTTATTAGGAATTACTTTTTATATATAATAATAATTTTTACATTACCGCTTTAATTATTTAAGTTATAATAATATATTTTTATACTTATTCTTTTCTTTTATTACATTTAAAATTATCACAACTTTTTTTTAAGATGTTACAATACTTCTAATACACTTTATATCAAATAATATAAATTTTATAATTATTCTTACATTTTTACGTAAACACTTTTTTATTAAATTATTTTTTATTTATAATAATAATTCTTTTATAATATCAACTTAATTATTTACGTTAAAATAATTTTTTTTTTGTTCTTATATTTCATTACGTTTAAAATTATCATAACTATTTCTTAAAGATATTATGATAGTTCTAATCTATTTTATATCAAATGATACTAATTTTATGATTATTCTCACCTTTATACGTTATGATATTTTTAATACATTTTACGTTAAATTATATCAATTTTATGATTATTCTCACATTTTTATGTTAACACTTATTTTTAGGTTTATAATTATTTTTTATTTATAATAATAATTTTTAATATTATCAATTTAATTATTTATGTTACAATAAAATCTGTTACCTTGTTTTTATATTTTATTATTTTTAAAATTATCATAATTTTTTCTTAAGTATTGTGATATTTCAAACATATTTTATATTAAATTATATTAATTTTATGATTATTTTTATCTTTTTACTTTAATACTTATTTTTTATTTAAAATTATTTTTATTTATAATTATAATTTTTTTACATTATAAATTTATTACGTTTCAATGATATTTTTTTACGTTTGTTATTACTTTTCATTACATTTAAAATTATTATAATTTTTTAGTTAAGGTGTAACAATACTTTTAACCATCTTACGTAAAATAATATCAATTTTACAATTATTCTCACTATTTTATGTTAATTCTTATTTTTTGTTTAAAATTATTTTTATTTGTAATAATAATTTTTTTATATTATTAACTTAATATTTATATTATAATAATATATTTTTATGTTTATTGTTACCTTTCATTACGTTTAGGATTATCATAACCTTTTCTTAAAGGTGTTATGACACTTTTAACCATTTTATGTGAAATGATATCAGTTTTACAATTACTCACACCTTTTTTATATTAACACTTTTTTATTTAGAATTATTATTTATTTGTAATAATAATTCTTTTATGTTGCCAAAAATATTATTTATGTTACAATAATATTTTGTTATACTTGTTCCTACTTTTTATTATGTTTAAAATTATCACAACTTTTTGTTAAGATGTTACAACATTTCTAATTCAATTTATGCCAAATGATACCAATTGTACAACTATTCCTAAATTTTGCATTACAACATAGTAACATATTTTAAACAAAATGATTTCAATTTTTTAATTATTCTTACCCTTTTATGTTAACACATATTTTTTTGTTTAAAATTATTTTTTATTTATAATAATATTTTTTATGTTGTCAACCTATATTTATTTTACAATAAAGTCTTTTATGCTTGTTCTTATTTTTATTATGTTTAGAATTACCACAAGTTTCTCTTAATGTATTATGATATTTCTAGTATATTTTATGCCAAATAATATTAATTTTATGATTATTCTCACTTTTTCATGTTAACACTTATTTTTTTATTAAATTATTTTTTATTTATAGTACTAATTTTTTACGTTACCAATTTATTATGTTTCAATAGTATTTTTTTTATGTTTATTATCTTTTCATTACATTTAAAATTATTACAATTTTTAAAGTGTAATAATACTTCTAATTATTTTACGTTAAATAATACCAATTTTATGATTATTCTCACTGTTTTATGGTTACTCTTAATTTTTTATTTAAAATTATTTTTTTACTTTTTACAATAATTTTTTTATAATGCCAACTTAATTATTTATATTCTAATAATATCTTTGTGCGTATGTTATTACCTTTTATTATGTTTAAAAGTACTACAACGTTTTTCTTAAAATTGTTACAACATTTTTTTTTTTTGTTTAGAAATAATAATTCTTCTACTTTGCCAAAAACATTATTTATTCTTGTTCTTCTTTTTATTATATTTAAATTTATCATAACCTTTTGTTAGGGTGTTACAATAATTCTAATTCAATTTATGCCAAGTGGCACCAATTTTACAATTATTATTAACATACTCTACATCAAATGATTGCAATTTTATAATTACTCTCACTTTAAACACTTTTTTGTTTAAAATTATTTTTATTTATAATAATAATTTCTTTTATGTTATCAATTTAGTTATATACGTTATAATAATATCTTTTTATGTGTATTGTTACCTTTCATTACGTTTAAGACTATTATAATTTTTTTTAAATGTATTATAATACTTCTAACCATTTTACATAAAAAAATAAAAATTTTATTATTATTCTTATCTTTCTACGTTAACACCTTTTTTTGTCCAAGATTATTTTTTATTTATAATATTAATTGTTTTACATTACCAATTTAATTATTTACATTTTAATAATATTTTTTATATTTTTTATTACTTTTTATTATGTTTTAAATTATCACAATATTTTATTAAGGCGTAATAGTACTTTTAATCATTTTACGTCAAATAATACTAATTTTACAATTATTCTCACTTTTTAAAATTAACTTTTATTTTTTGATTTAAAATTATTTTTGATTTATAATAATATTTCTTTTACATTACTAACTTAATTATTTTTGTTACAATAATATCTTTTTATGTTTGTTATTACTTATCATTACATTTATAACTATCACAACTCTTTATCAGGATATTATAACACTTTTAACTTATTTTACATTAAATGATATCAATTTTACAATTATTCTCATCTTTTTACATTAACACTTATTTATTGGTTTAGAATAATTTTTTGGGTTTAAGGTAATAATACTTTTATGTTATTAACTTAATTATTTACGTTACAATAATATCTTTTTACGCATGTCCTTACCTTCATTACGTTTAGAATTATTATAACTCTCTTTTATAGCATTATGGCACTTCTAACACATTTTTTACCAAATGATACCAACTTTATGATAATTCTCATATTTTTATGTTAACCAATATTCAATTAAATTTTTTTAAATATTATATTATCTTTTTCTCTTTTTTGGAAATTTTAAATAGATTATATCTATTTGTTAAAAATTTCTTTTATTTTATTTAATAAATAATATTTGATATAATTAATTAAAATTAGATTAACAAGTTAACAAGTAATAAATTATTTTTACAATTAAAAAATTAATTATTTTGTATTAATTCTTTATAACTAACGATTATTATTCAATGACCTTATAATAAGGTTAAAAAATTTAAACTTATTGTAAAAGTTCCTGTACTCTCTCCCTCCCATTTTTTTTTTTGAAATATCCCAAAATTATATAATATATCTTTATTTTTAATATCTAAAACTCTTTTTTATATTTTAAAATTATTTTTTATGATTTTTTTTTACTTTTTGACATTAAAAATCAAAGAACTTTAATCTTATAAAAAAATTTAAAATTTTAATATTAAATACATTAAAATTAAAACTTTTTTTTCTTAAATTCCTTGAAAATCAATACATGACAAATATTTTAGAATGGAGGGAGTAGTTTTTAGGCTATTCTTAGATATAGGAAAGGAAAAGAAAGTAAAAGAAAAATATAAGGTTTATTTGGATGAGCGATGAAATTGGTTTTGATGAGATTAAAAATAGTAGTAGAGATGAGATTGGTTGTTGTAGTAGTGAGATTGAAATCAATTGTGAGGTATGTGTTTAGATACAAAAGTAATGGTAACAGTCAAATAAATTATAAAAAAAAAAAAAAAACCATTAAAGACATTTACTCCAAATACATGTTTCAACCAAAACTACCCTTAAGGTGGGTTCAAATGCATCAAACTCTAGTGGGGTGCAATTGTTATGAAAAGTAGAGCCACCAACAACTTTCAAATCTAAATAATCTTGTAGTGCGTTTTAAATTTCATTGTTTGTTCATCGGAGGTTGAAGCTCTATTTTTATTACCATTGCAAATTTTTTTTTCGATTTCTTTCCTTTAACTTTTAGGTTGTGTTTGATATCATTTTTCAAGATCATCATCATAATTTAATTATCGAAGTGATCTTATTACTAAGGTGTTCTTATCACTTGTGATCTAAAATCATTTTATTTGATTAAGAATAATTAATTTTTAGTAATTAAATATCACTATTTTTGGTATTACTAAAAATAAAATATTATTTTGTTTGAAAGTATCAAAATAGTCATACACATTATAATAGCTACATAAGTTAATAATTTCAATGTTATTTAAAGTTAATAATTTGTATATAAAATATTAATAATATTTTATTTACTTCATAATAAATATAATAAAATTATTAAATTAAAAATAT